TAAATACAACAAAACAACAGCCAATTTAATACATATAACAAAATGCTTTTTATCGCAAACATATACTAATTGATGAGCGAGAATGTACACTATATGTGACCTAATTTAATGAATATTTATTTTATAATTCACTTATAACATAAAATGCATATATCATGCACTTTGTACAGCCTATCTCTCCCTCTTAAATATTATTTATATATTAATTGAAAACTTGTCGATATATTACATAAAACACATATAAAACACACACAAACTGTATTACAATGTCACTGAAATTTATTAACAAAGTATAAAAAACTATTTTATATGACATATTGTAATATACCAGTGCTCTAAATATCTATTTATCATATACTCTCTGAATATTTATATCTCGTAATTAAGACTTTTTTGCTGATTATAATATCATATAATTTGGCATAATTTTTATACATTTTATATACTTAAGAGAGAGAGAGAGAGAGAGAGTCCGGATAAGAGAGATACAAAGTTTTTACTTTAGCTCAAGTATGCTATCAGTATTTGTATGAAAAAATATACACTGTATATAAGTTTGTTGATAACGAAAATAAATTATAGTGGAGATTAATTTCCATTATACTTCGCTTTTATGTATATATAATATAATAATAAAAACTACAAAGTATTGAATTTTGAATTATAAAAATCATTGAATAGTTAAGTGGAATATATTTATAACACAAAATAGTATTTATAAAAAAAATATATAATATATTGAGAGGAGAGAGAGAGAGAGAGAGAGAGAGAGAGAGAGAGAGAATAGAGGGAGAGAATAGAGGCCAAGGATTTGACTGTTGTTTTGCACTCAAACTATTAGATTATTATTAAATACTTTGAAAAATGGATTTTTGTGCTCATAATATTCAATGCATTGTAATATGCATTGGTATTAAATACATCGACAATTAAATTAATTGTGCAAAACATATTATATTCATTCATATATGTATGGAGTGAAAAAAATATGTATGTTTTTAATGATAAATAAACTTAATGTTGAGAATAGTTTGTATGCGTTTCGAGATTAATATTTTTTGAAGTCAACTCCCAGTTAATAGCCCCGAAAGGCATTGCATTCACTGATATTAATGATATTTATTCATTAATTTTCATTTTTGATATAATTTCTATTCTATCGTTTAATCTTTAAGTTTTTGAAACAAGAGAGAGAGAGAGAGAGAGAGAGAGCAAAGATTTTAATTAAATGCAAAACTCAATTCTCTCTTCAATTTCTCTTTCAATAGAAAAGAAATATTTCTCTCTTTTTGTAGAAATTTTATGTTTTAATTGAAGGATATGTCAGAAAAGATTTTGTGAAAAGTTTTATTAACTGTTTTTTTGTATTATTTTTGTTGCGAAGGCTTTCTGTGCCTCTCAATAGTAATACATATTTTTCGGATTAATTTTAATTATTGACTAATAATTAGTCCTACATTTTGTATACAATTATAATAAATATGAATAAGTTTTGAAATAAAAAATTCCTTTATGTTAACTGAATGTCTCTCTCGATTTGAAAACATTTTGCGAGAGAGAGAGAGAGAGAGCATAAAAGAGAGCCTAAAACTATCAATTATTCAGTTAATTATGTTTTTCACAACTCATATGTAATTTGCGATTATTTGTTAAGTTTTTAGCATTAATTTTGAATCGTTTACTAATTTTTTCTCTCTCTCTCTTCGGTATAATTATAATGGGATTGCAATCGATTGCAAAACTAATCATTAAAACCATTTATTAATACAAAAAACACTGTATTTATATGCGAGCACAGCATTCATAAAATCATAGATTTTTGTGGATAATAAATACATTTATAATTGGATTTTTTGGGATTAATACTCAAACAAAACCATAATTTTTTAGTTTTTAAGCATATTTTGGAAAATGAAATTTTTGGCCCAAAAATTCCCATACGTTTTGATGTAAGCAACAGATTATACAGTCATTTAAGTCAACAGCTCTTGATTTTCTCTCATAACTCAGATATTAATCAAATAATTAGTTTTGACTTAAAGGGAACACCACTATATGTTTGTATTCAGCCAGTAATAGCATATTATTACTGTTAATCCTAATATTTAGATATCATATGTTATGTATTGAACATGCAATCCAAAATAAATATAATTTAAAAAGCGAGCACAAACAAAGTGCATTCATTTATCACAACCCCCGGTGAAATTAATATTTAAATAAACTATTTTAAATATTAAACAAATTCATGGGATTTGTATGTCTTTGAGACACAAATATATTGCACACATTCACGCAATATTTAAATTATTATGCTAGTTAAATTAAAATAAAATTTCAGAGTAATACAAATTAGTATTGTATAATGAACTTAAATTCGTGATTACGTTAGTATACTGTAGTAGAAAAGACAATAAAATAATAATTCAAAGGATTAATTTATTTGCATAATTATTGTGATTAATTACTTTAAAAGTTATAAATTAAAGCATTTGAATGAATTGAAAGTGTTTACCGTTTAGATCCAACCAAATATACTTTGAGTGTTTTAAATGCATTTTCAATTTCAGTCAAACTGTTTACCATAATTAACACATTAGGTTTAAAAATATTTCTAAGTGCTATATTAGTATTAATTACAATGTGAAAAATGTACATTTTTCCATTATTTGTTTGTTAATTAATGGGCAAATATAAGCAAATATTAGGTTTCATTAAATTATTGAAATATTAGTGATAAAAGTGGTCATAAGTAGGCATTTGTTTGCCTCTACGCAAGGCATTCATCTCCTTATCAATCATTACTCGTATATTAGAAATGCATACGAAATGTAAATATAATATTCAAATTGATTTTTTAAGGGGAAAACTCATGGAAAATATATTTGATTTTGAATATACAGTGAAATCATTTTCATTAATCTTTAAAATGCAAACATTTTCTATTCACTCATTCAGTCATTCAAAACAATTTATTTAAACGAGATTTTTGTTTGCTTTTTCATAAATACAAACTTAATCATGAGATAGACATCAATAGCGCTATAACTCTATTCAAATGATAATTTGCTGTGAATTTACATAAAAGTTATGCAAACACTTAAAAGTTAAAAACTAATTTTTAATAAATATATGCGTTTCATAACTTTATAGTTTCACTATTAGCAGTAGTATTAAAACGAAAAACTTATAATTAATTGATTTTATTAAATTATTATATAAAATATGAGTTTAAAATAAATTATCATTTTTTCTAAAAGGAAATACAAAATCACTTTTATTATTATTATTCTTAATGGTAATCATTAATTAAATTCAAGTCCCTTTCAAAATACATATTTTTGAAAATACTTTTTAAGTTTGTATTCAATTAAAATCTCTCTCTCTCTCTCTCTCTCTCTCTCTCTCTCTCTCGTAATTGAATTTCTCTGGTCTTCAGTCATAAAGATTGAGACAANCTCTCTCTCTCTCTCTCTCTCTCTCGTAATTGAAACCAACATTCCTTAAGGGAATAAATCCTTATTTTATTTTACATTTAATCCAATCATTCAATTCACTACTACTCTAATGATTGTAACGGAAAAAATCAAATTTACGAATAAATTAATCGTTTTCTCATAATAATTATGAAAATCGTATAATTTTTATGCATAAATAGACCAAAGAGTGTATGTCTTAATAAGTTTTACATTTGAATTCATATTCAATTTCAAGCGTAAACGTGAAGTGAAAATAATATACAGGTATTTGTGTTAACATTATTATTATGATTACGATATGTCTTAAAGCTATTGAATATATGGATAAATGGATCAAAAATGGTTTTTATATTCAGTTAATGTACTCCTTGTAAATCAAATACTGTATTAATAATATAGTTAATAATAACATGTATTTTCTCTAGCATTCAATACTACTGTATTTTTGCCATAATTTTTAATTTTGTAAACCTATTATTAAAAATCAAGTATATCTACAAAACGCAAACCATTAGACTATTTCATATTAAATAAGTTTATAATCTATAATAACTTTTTAAAAACTGAAAACATTTTCATAGATTTAATAGTTGTTACAAAACTATCGTAAGTTTGTCTATAACTCTCAAAAATACATGCAATTAATGGCCAAATATTTAATTTTTATTTATTGATTAGATTTACATTCAAATGACATTTTGAGGGTTACATCACACGTGAAATACAGTGACTTTTGAACAATATGTAATGAATAGCACAGGTATTTAGTCCAAGGGAATGGTAGGTACATAGGAACTGGTAGTTCACAACCATTTGCCTCACAAGTGGTGCTTATTTTAAATGTTTAAATTCATTGATTGATTACTAAAACAATATAAAACTATCGTTTTTTATAATTAATTATAAATAAAGAAATAAAAACTACGTTTAGTTTAAATATAGTTTTTATTTATAATTTCTAAACAGTTATTATTAATAACTTATTAAAATAGGTAGACATCTAAAAGACTATTATCAGAAGACTACTGTCCACTCGTGTCAGTCTATCATATATGTCGGCATATATTGTGGTCTTAATTATCACTTTTGATGTCAATTATCACATCAATTGATCTCTGGTCTAACAGATCATTGCCTTTCCATAGAAAACGTTTTGTTTGAAACTTTTTGTTTGACTTTTAAAAGTTTGGTGGACACGATCTGAGACACAACCACCGGATCAGGTCCTGAACACATCGATAACCACTCGAAAGTGTATATTAATACCAAATTTTGACCACAATTTGTGAGCATTTTAATGAATCCTAAATTACTAAAATTATTCATTTTATAACCAATTGAAACTAATTTTGTTTGACGTTAAGTTTATTTTTAAAAACATATTAATAATTAAATTTATGTCTTAATAAATACACAGAATCTATGAATCAATTTATAAAACATTATTCAATTTCATGCAAACTTTTGACTACAGAATCAAATAAAACACGATTTCTATGAAAATGACTTCCATTTCCCAAATCACAGCACTTTATGCCTCAAAGCCTGTAACGCATTGTCTCTGTACAGCAGAAAGTGGGCCTGAATTCTGGCCATCGATACCGGGTTGGGATCAGACCTCACGTGCCGTACGAACTGTTCAGTCGATTCACTATTAAGCGGATAAAAGCGATTGAATGCACGCCTTATCTGACTGTCAGAGGCGTTGTCTATAAGCACTCTCACGTCTACCCGTCCGGGACGGGTGAGCGCGCTGTCCAACACCTCCACCCGATTGGTGGTCATCATGACAATGCGGGCGTCACTACTGACCACACCGTCCAACGCGTTCAAGAGCCCGGAGTACGTGACTCGCGTGAGGCCGTCGTATCGGACGGCGTCGAGAGGGCCGGCACTCCTCGACACGACCGCCGCGTCGATGTCTTCGAGTAACACAACGGCGTCTTTGGGCGCAGTGTTGAGCAGTTGAGTGAGTCGGTCGTCGGTGAGCGCCGGGTCCGAGACATTCAACACACATATCGAGTAATTCAAGAGACCGGACAACGAGAAGATGAGCGACGACTTGCCGGTGCCGGGAGGGCCGTAGAACAGGTACCCGCGCCGGTAGGGAATGCCCCTCTCGTGGTACCACTTGCCGGACGTGACGAAGGCGTGCAGATCTTCGGTCACCCTTTCCATCAAACCGTCCGCCAGTATCACCGACTCTAGCGGTCGCTTAGGCCTCGAGTGGCCGAACGGTCGCCACTCGTGTCCGTACGCTATATATGTGGCCGTCTTGTCGGCGCAGTCGGCCAGCGCTACATCCCTGGCCTCCGCCAGTATGTCGATGAACACCGACTTATCCCTCCCGGGGGTCGTCAGCGTCACCAACTCGTAGGGCACGCCCGCCAAGGCGTCCATCTGTTCCCGGCGTCGGTCGCACTTAAACCAGCGGCCGTTGAAGCGGAAGAAGTGGACTCCAGGCGCCGGATGAAAGCCGAAGCGGGAGGTCACGCGTCCGGCGCCGTCCTCCACGAACTCCGTGCTGACGGCCACGTGTTGGGCACGTGTCGACTGGCGGGCGATCCACGCGAGCAGCCACTGATAGGACTTGTCTTTGCTGTTCACTTCGCACGTCGTTAAGGCATACCTCTGGAGCACGTGAACCGACTGCTGGAGGCCTTTGCGAGCGATGGCCAGTCCGGCCGTCACACCGACTAACCCGAAGCCGGCGCCGAAGTACGGGTTGTCCTGCAGTGAGGCCAACAAATCGCCGAAACCGCCCATTCATGTGGTGTTTAGGTGGACAACGATTTCATCGGACTTTCATCTGATTTGAGGTGATATTGAAGTTTGTGTTTCACATAAACATATGAGAGTCGAGTCCGTAAACACCGTTACAGTGGATGGCAAAGGGGTTAGTGGTGAGCGTCCATAGGGTTTGCATCGAGTGAAAAGTTTTTGGCACTCAATTGTGCGCTAATGGGGTAACGCTATGTGTGAGTAGTTCTCAAACCACGTGACCCTCTGTTGCCATTCAGTGTTTGTTTACGTTTTGTACGCAAAGTGTGTCCGACTTTTGAGGGCATTTATATACCACAAGACACGTGCGGATCAACTGAAGTGATGGTGAACCCGGAGAAGCTGTTGTTCTCGTGGCGCGTGAAGGTGGCCGGGTATGCGGTGCCCGCTGTGGTGATGGCCATGTGGTTCTACACCCGATACGACTACAACATGTGGGAAAGGCATACACCACACGATTATCAACACAAACCATGGCTTTACTACTCCAGAAACGACAGCAAGGATGACGACCATCACCACCATTAGGTCCACCGTTAGTGTCTACGGTGTGTCTGTAATTAGATTTAGTTGATAAATACATAATTGTTATGCAAATAGTCGTAAAATAAGTGCTGTTTTTGTGGTCACCTCTTGAGGTCACCTCTTTTCGATGCGATCACTATTTAGTGGCAATTGTTTTGATTGCAGTTATTGTCAAACATTTTGATTAATAAATAAATTTCTGTTTCAATTCACTTCTCGTATCAAGTGTTCATCTCTTATGGCATTTCCAATCAATTCAATGAATCAATTAAATTGGGTTTTATGTCAAATAACTGATGAATAGATTTAATGTTTCACTCTTTGATCACTTCCTCTGATGTCTTCTCGCATCGACCGCCACCTCCCGTGCCCTCCGAACCTCGGCTCAGTCGGACTGTCCAGACTCCCAGACCAGTAGTCACTGACCTCCCCGACTGTCTAGACTCCCAGCACTCCTGACCCACACCCACCCCTTTCCCTCGGAGGGCACTCGTTGCACGATAACCACGGCTCCACCTCTTTTGCGTCCAATCGCTTGAATACCATTCCCTTCACAATGCATTCGATGTTTCCAAATACCAGTCCTCTCACTTCTAACATCCCATTCCCTTCACAACCACTTTCTTCACATATTTCCACGAATTATAATCTTCAGGAGAAAGTGTTGTCTCCAGAAGTAGTGGTCATTCAGGAAGACATTTGTGGTTCACTTTTACTCGAAATAAACATTTTTAATAATTCCCGAAATATTGTTCAAAAATGGTTTCAAAAAACATTTTAATTTGAATCATAAATTGCATTATAAATAGATTTTGTATTTTAACTACTATTACATCAAAACTCATTTTAATATCGATTAACAAAAAGTATATTTGATTTGGCATTAAATCTTCAAATAGTCTCTCAAACGACTCAATCTTATGATGCAATCCGGAGTTGACATGAAGTGAATGATCTTCTCGTCGCTCGAGAACTGGACTTTTGGTGCGAATAATGTCGGCTCCAGAAGTCGTTTGGATTCGATGGCCTCCACACAGAGGGCAGCCTTCAAGAGCTCTATTATCTCCAAGAGTTGGACCGGTTGTAGGGTTTGGCTGAAGAACTCAATGAGCTTTTGTTGAGGGAGACAGGGGTTTGTCATTATGTGTCCCAACACTCCGCTCAAGAACTTAAAGACCACTTTGTTGTCAACGGTTCCGTTCGGTTGCTTCCAATAGCGGGCGAAGTACTTAACGGATTGACTCTCAGCGCCGGTATTTGCGGCCAATTGGATAGCGGGTGGCGAGACCTGCGAGTGGACGAGCCATGGCTGCACCCAATCCACGGAAACCCACGCGAATCGACGGACACCCACTCTGAACACCAGTTGCCTCTCATTGAGTCTCGACAGCGAATCTAAGAGCGAGTCCTTCGGCTGAAAACACAGCAACTCGTCCTCAGAAGCGCCTAATTCTCGCTTCGACTGAATGTAAGCCACGAGTTGTCTGTCGGTGACGGAGCCGTCGGTCAACGGAACGGCATTCAACTCATTCGCAAACAACTGTTGCTGTGCTTTGAAGAGACGATCGAAGTCTTGGAGATCGACATCGAAGTCATTGGTGGCCACGGATGTGATGCGGCACTGATTGACAAACAGATAGTCCGCCGAATGCTTCGTGCGGTCGCTCTGATTGGTGTTCATGTGTTGTCTCAATAAGTGGAGCGCATATCGGGATGAGGTTCGCGGGTCCTTCGGGTTCGTCACGGCATTGCGCGCCGTCTTATACAGGGGACAGTCGTTCTGGAGCTCAACCACGTTGTCGGGAATGTGTGTATAAAAGCGGACGGCCTTCGAGGCGAACAGAGACGAGACGATCGCCGCCTCGAAACTCGTTTTTCCCTCTTTTACGCAAATGGTGTCCGACTCGAGTCGCTGTTCCGACAAAAGGCTTTCCAAATAGTATTTGGTTTGCAGTAAAAACAGAAAGTTTTGTGATATCCTGTATGGAGTGCTTCCCTTCGACTTAATGGTCGACAAGTCGATCGTTTTCCTCGCTTTCGTCATAAACCCATATTTGCCGAGTTTTGTGGCCACCGATCGGATCAAACTGTCCGGATATCTGTGATATATGCGGAACAGTGTCTGCGCGAACACATTGGCCTCCGGTTTGGAGGCGCCGGCGGTGTTGGCAGTCATGTAGTGTTTGGACAGCAGCGACGACAGCAAGACATTAGTGACAACATTGACGTGAATGTCGACCACATTGTGCGGGTCTTCGTGTAGTGGGCCTCTGATGGGCAACAGATGTGTCGGCGAATGGATTATCTTAAACCTCGACAACAGGTCTCGCATGGAGTGCACGGCTATCACTGTCTGACTGTTTCCGGTAGTCGTGTGCGAGGACTGCATTCGCGCCAGTATTTGGTGCAGCACTTGGAGGTAGGCCTCAGACCAGACCTGTTCGTGGGTTTTGGGAACGTCTGGGCGAGTGATTGTCAACTCCTGGTTAAACTCCCCGATATAATCGGACACATTTTGTCGGGTATTCGGGTTCTTCAGCATATAAATGATGCGTCGCTGACAGGCGAGCGCCGTCTTGTCTGCGGACACGTGTGGGTAGTATTTGTGGAGTTCGTCGCGAACCACATTCCTGTTGACGCAGATATGAGTGGCACAGTTGGGGTCCAACAGAGCCGACGCCACTTTGCACACCAGTAGGAAGGAGTCCTCTTCGGGCGTCCAATCGGTTCTCTGCTTCTTCAGCAAACTCTTGGCCCTGAGGTCCACCTTATCGTACGCTCGATGTCTTTTGGTGGCGTTTGGTGTCATCGGTGTTGATGAGGTACTACTGGTCGGAGTGGCGGCGGTAGTGTTAGTGGTGGTCGGAGTGGACGACTGACCGCTAACTTTGGCCTTTTTCTTAGCGCCCGTCGTCTTATTTGTGTCTCGTTTTCGCTTTTTACTGCTTTTAGCCTTCGGTTGGCTCTCATTCTCCTTCGCGTCCGCACCGGTCGTCGTCGACGTCGCCTCAATCGCCTCGTTATTACCGGACAGTCGTTGCAGTCGATGGGAGGCCGACGCGCTCTTCGTCTTATAGGCGGGAGTGTAGGTCCAGTTGCGGAGGTTGTGGGCGAACAGGCGTTTGTCGAGCGAGCAGTCGTCGCACGGCTCGAAACAATGCATTTCCAAGTCCTCCTCAAACCGTCGCAACTCTCGCATTGTATTGAACTCATAGTCCGTCTGAACGTTGTTTGCGATCAAAGAGTACTTATTCCTCACTGTTATGACAGTCGTCTCCTTCTCCGTCTGCTCCTTGTATTGGGTCTCAACTAAACCCATATAACTCAGGCCTACCAGCGCTTCGCAGATATTGAACGCGAATTTGCGGCGATAGAGCAGACACTGGCGTAAGTGCGGCGATATCTGCGACAGCGTCAGGTGTGTGGCCACCGGGTCGTCGAGCAGCTCCTGGAGGTCGGGGATTATGAATGAAATCCAAATGATTCGCACGAATACAGAGACAGGGAGTCGTGGGATGATGTCTCCAATCGTACAGACTTTGGCTGTGAATTCAATCGCAAAACACATTTCATTAATACAACAATTGACACAAAACAACACAATTCACGCGACAAATGGCTCACATGTCTGTCCATCCGGGAGGGCGTCGATATTGAAGCGCCAGTCAGTGTTCGGTACGTTTTGTTTGTCGAAATCGTGGGTCAAGTAAAACAAAAACCGGTACAGAGTTAGCATTTTCTTGAGCTTCGGCTCCAAACCGTACTTCCGGGCGATGGACGGCTGGTACACGAGATTCACGACCGCATTGTTTTTGCCGCTCTTTGACGACGACTTCTTGTCGGCCGCCATCGAGTAGGTGTTGGCGAACGAGCGGTCCGACTGAATGTCGGCGCAGTATTTGCCGATCCACTGGAACTTAATCTGATTGATGCGCTCTTTGACGAGCGGGTGGTCCGGTGTGATGGACGGCACGCACACGAAGTGTAGTTTCTTCACCTGATCCTGATATCGGAGTATCGTTCGGATGGACCGCACGAGTCCGTCGGCCGCCAACTTATGCACGACTCGGACCACGGTTTTGGTGCACACTTTGTGGACGTTCTTGCGCTCGGATTCGCGGATCAGTTGCTTGAATGTGAAGATCCGGTCCACGAGTCGCTGCTTCTGAACGCAATCGAGTATAATATTCGCCCGATTTAGCAGATTATTGGCCGTCGAGTTCGCGTCGCCCGACAGCGACCGACGCGCGCGACTGAACACCCCGTCCGCGTCGCCGCTCCGGTACTTCGGTATATAGAGCGTCACCTTTTGGCGACCCCTGTCCACCATCACCGTCGATATGGCGCCCACTTTCTCGAGGTATCGCACGAGACTCCGCGCCTCCAGTTTGGGTAACGACAGACAGTGACCCACTTCTCGCAAACTGATGCCCTCCTGGGACTCGTGCGACTCAATGACGGCCAACGCCTGCGACATCAGCGGCCGGTCCACCAGAATCTTGCCGGCGCTGAACACGACGAACGCCTGCTGTTTGTCGGCGCCGATCGTCATCTCCTCGTCGTCTTCGTCGCCGCCCTCTTCGTCGTCGACGGCCTCCACTCCGCCGCCGATCGGTTTAATCAGACGTATGGTGCGCTTCAACGCCGCGGAGCTACTGTTCCCCTCTTTCGCGGGCGACTCGGTGTCGGTGTGTATGACCTGAAAATTGCCGCAATAGTTGGCCATAAGGTCGCGGAAATGTCGCGCTTTGCTGAACACCAACTGCGAGCGCACGAAGTCGTAGTCGAGTCGGCCGTCCGGCGCCGTCGCCAACAAATCGCTCACTTTCTGGGCGTTCATTTCGGTGGGCGTCTGGGCGTCGGTGGCGAACCGGCTCAGCGTGAAGACCAATCCGTGACAGTTCTGTACGCTCTTCGCGTTGAACACAATGCACGGCTTCTTGCGGACCAACTTCTTCCTCAGCAGTACTTTGCGGTAATAGAAGAGCGTCTTCGCGGAGTGGCTGTAATCTCCCGACTCTTTGCCGACCGTTATTTCGCCCAAAAAACGGTGTCTTCCGATGCGCTCCAGAATGCAGTACTGGATGGCCGTGAGGTCGATGTCGGCGTCACAGTAGGTGCCCATCAGAGCCCTCGTCCTCTGCGACTGATTGGCCACTAAGACGAACCTCTGGGCGCCGTATGTGAGGCACACCTCTTGGAGCGACATATTCTGGTTGAGCACCTCTTTGGTGACGTTCTGGCGCTCGTAGTAATCACGCGAAGACCCCCTCACCTCCTGGTCGGTGACGGCAACCACTGGGCCGTAGACATCGTCGGGGATGACATCCGGGTCTTCGATGAGAGTTCCCGTCTCTTCGTTCACACTCTCGTATCGGTTGTACAGACGTATCGGTTGTCGCGATTGTGGCAAAGAGTACATCGAAACGGTTCTGTCGTTTGTCAACGACTTGACGATGTGCTCGAAGACAAACACCTGAACGGCGGCTGACGTCAAGTCAAACGTGGGATCCGTTGGCGCGGATGGTGTCATACGAACTGACAGTCTCATCCACAGCGAGTCCACAGTTATGCCGTCCAGACCTTCGAGCGCTATCTCGTCCAACACCACCGCCAATAGGTCTCTGTTGGAGATGTCAGCGCCGGTCGTGGCCATCGATGACACAGACTCGCGATGAAGGTATCAATGGATTAAATGAATGGTTACAAAGATTTTGGTGACAAATGTTTGTAAACATAAAGACATGCATTGAATGCAAACATAACTCAGAGTAGCGTTGAGTGCAATGAATGCCATCTAATAGTCAATGCATTAATGAATGGCTTTTCGCCACTTTTCACAGAAAAAAGTTTTGAGAAAAGGTTTTTCGCCTTAAGTTTCGGTAGATTTCAATGTAAA